TATTAGTCAGCGAGCAGCGCGTTTGCTCATGAAATAGGGTCGCAGACCGTGACCGAAACTGGTAGAGCCATTTGTTTTTGAATAAAAACAATTTTTCTGCAACGAGGAAAAGCCCGATCTCTTCATTTCCATGATCATCTCCTCGAGTGTCAACTTCTTCAAACAAATTGTATAAATTATTTATGATTTTATAAAAAAAAATATTTTTCCCAACTGTTAGTGACGTTAGTAGATTATTTTTTAATTAAATTTTATAATCGTTGTTCTTCACATGTCTAATTATTTGGACAAAGTTGATTAAAAATAAGAAGAGGTTTAACAGAAGACACCAAGAGGTTATACCGTGCGCTCTTCACGTATGCACTGCGTATTGCATAGCTTTCAAGGCGTTAAGTAGCTTTTCGTTTTCTTCGCGCACTGATCGAGAGGCAGCACCTACCTGACGGAGCGAATGATTTCATTATTATTCTTAAACTGATAATTTAAGAGTTTTAACGCATTTCCTCTATCCGAAGCCTGAGCAAATATAAATAAAATAAAATATCCATACTACATTAATTTTGTAATGAGTAACAAAAATTTACAATTTGTGTAAATTTTACTTTTAATTACTTTGAAATTGATTTAATATTTTGATAAGTTCCCATTATTTTTAATATTTACATATTAAATATTTCCCATATTCTATAATAGAAAAATTATAATTGAAACGCTTGCCAAGAAGATGAAAAATTCTGCAATTAGGAAGACCAATTTTGGTATTATGTAACGTGCGAGGTGGGAATATTAAGGATTTTAATCTCATGCAAAAACGCGTGTAAAGGTAGCCACTCACTTAATCATAAGATAATTGGCTCGAGTACACACACGGTGCACAGCAGGGGCTGGCGAGAGTCAAAGGGGCCGTTGGAGGAAAGTGCACTCTCCGAAATTAGGAATAATTTATTAGGCTTGGTATAGCGTCCTGGGTGTTTGTAATGAGATGCCTGATGGCTAACAAGGGGTGAGCGTATGATGAGCTGCGAGCAAGGCTATTTGCATTGTTAACAACTCTCAACTCCAACACTCTCTCTCGCTGCAGCGCAGCATCGCAATCTCGGGAACTCAAGGTATGTCCAACAATAAACACAAAATAAGCGGCGGCTACTCTCACATATGTATATAAGGGTGCGGGTAACGCGGGGAGCAAAGCAAAACGAGCCTCGCAGAAATTCATGCATATTCTTTTTTCTTTAGACTCTCGTGCACCCCAAAGCTCGCTGCTTTGGCTTAGCGGGTGCGGTTCGACTCCGAGGCACAGGCAAATTTAAGCTTGTCCAGCGCGCGCCTCTGCACTACAGCCCGAACCGGATTACAGCTAATTCTCTCTCTTCGGCCAGGAAAAGAACATTTTCTCTCTTTTCCCCCCGCATATATGCAGAACGCCGCCTGCGAGCGGCACCGGAGGAAACTGTATTCTGCCCACCGTTGCGGAAAATTGTTGGTTCTGGTAAAAGCATGCAAGGAAATGACGACCCGCGCTTTTTCATCAAAAACATTTGCATGGAAAGAAAATTAATTTGAATGGAGGAATGCAATAAAATAAATATTTATTTTATTTCATTTCAATCTGATTTCAATAACTAAATTTGTTATTTAGTTATTATATTAAATTTTTAACTATGCATTATTTTGAATATTTCTATTAAATTTTGTGGAAGGGTTTCAATTTATCCAATATACTCGGGTTATGAAGAGAAACTTATTCGCATTATTACATTATAACAGCTAAGATACAATCATCAAAGCAATATTTTTGTATATAAAATATAAAATTCAATTGAGTTGCTGAGTAAAATGTTTTTCCATATAAAAGTAAAAAAAATAGTAACTGTCTGAAAAATTTATTTTTAACATTTTAAATGAATGAAAAAAAACGTTTTTCTAAAATATTAAAATAAACTTAATTACGTATTAAAGAATTACAATTTTTTTTTATATTTAATTATGTTTTTTAATGTGAGTTGCCATCAAACAATTTTACATTTTTAATAATTCGAAAACTTCAAAATTGTTCTGTATATATTTTCATCATACTTCATACTTATTTAACCAGTATATATTTTTCAACCTTCAAAGAAAAAATGATCCAAAAAAGAAATACTTGAGAAGTATTAGCAATGGCTAATGGCTTATCAGTTGTGGTCTGACGTGCTATTTTGTAGCCCCTGAAAGCGTGCAGTAGTTCTTTTCTTTATTTTTTTTTCTTTTTGGATTATAAATTAGAATCTCAAGAGTGTGCATAAAAATTATATTTTACCTGTTATAACTTGGCGCCTATTGATATCAAATTTTTTTCTATTTTTTTCAATAGGTATACATATACATTTTTCAAAATATGGGATAGGAAAAAATTAGAAATTTTTAATATTTTTATTTAAAAATTACTTGGAATTTATACAATTTATCCAACAAGTCCAATTGCAATCAATTAGGGAGCATATTCTGCAAGTAAAATAGAAAACAAACTATAGCGCAGTGCATATATTTTTGAGCCCAAAACGCTGAGATTTTCAGATTTTAAAATTAATCATCTCGGCGTGGGCGTGGACCTTGAGGCCCTGCGTTATAGCAACCTGTTTGCCAGAGGTGTTGCCGTTTCTTCACATTTTGTAATTTTTTATTATTTTCATGACTTGATTTGTGAAGAATAAACAATAATAATAATAATAATAATAATAATCAGCCTTTCTTTAATTTTCTTTAAAGATTGAAGATAATATCTGAAATTGAGTTCCATTAAATTTAAAATCACTTTGCGCAAGTCGGTTATTTTTCCGCTACCACCGAGCCATGTGCATATGTATGCTGCGGCCCCATATATGGTAGGAAGGAAGGTAGTATAATTAAAGTAAATGCCAGCTAAGTTCCATATTCACCAGAGTGTGTGTGTGTGCGAGGATGAAGGAAAAGGGGTTAAAGTGGGTGGCTCGGGAAGAAGGGGTGGTTTTTACTGAGCCGTAGTGCAGGGCGCGCGCGGTGTACCCCTTTATTATTCTATGATCGCAGAATGCGTACCCCTGCGCGGCGCACCCTCGGTCCATTCTTTCGCAGGAATTCTTCGGCCATGTGAGTGTTCCGAAATGCGTGCTGCCGAGTCAATAAGCGCCTTTGTTCGAATTAATATTCAGTCGCAGATAAAATATTAAATCTGGAAGGGGCACAAGTGGTGCGCGCCCCACACACACTAGAGTATCCCTGACAACAAATAATAAGCCTCTCATGCGATGATGGTGATGAGATTTGTTTGACAGCCGCGCGCTCTCGTGCTTGCCTGCCAGCGAGAGAATCGCTTCACTTCGGGCCTGCTTACAAAAACAAAACGAGCAAAAGCCTCTCTTTTATGAGATACGATGTCATCCACCCGACCAGAGCAGTTATATTTGTAGACGCGGCAATCATTAATTTGCGTTAAGCCGCTCGGATTGAGCTTTCAAACTTGATTCTCGCGCGGCGTGGAGGTATAGCAAATATATTATTTTGATGTACGCAGACAAGCTTCAAGCTAGCTTCAAGGTCTCGGAAAGTATTAATGTGAAGCCGAGACAGGTTTAAAATTTTCTTTTTTAATGATGTTTTGAAATTGAAAAGGACTAAATTTTGTACTTGGAATAATGTGTATATGAATTAAATACAAAAATTTAATTTTGAATGTTATGTTATTTTATGTTTACTTTTTTTCATTTACATTAGACAAAAAGGATAGTGACTATAACTTAAGTTCATATAAGTAAAGTAATTCTGTGCTTAAATAACATTATGATAGACTGCAGAATATTACTTCGCTGAAATGTGCATCGCAGTATAATAATACTAATAAAACTAATAATAAATTGTAATGAATATAAGATTATAATATAATAATATATTTTATTCTTTTATATTTCAATACAGACAAAATAAAGTATTTAAATATTTTAGAATAAATTAACATTAAAATTTGTTGAAAATTAATAAAATAAAAGTGTGTTTTGTTAAAAAAAAGCAGTTAACATTTTCACTGTGAAATTTATCCAATGTAAAACAGCTTAAGCTTAGACTTTTTTGTATTGTTTTGGTTGTTAAGAAGAAAATTTTCCTCATATTTTATGTTTAATTTAAATATAAAAGGAATGCTAAGTGAAATTATAATAAGTTTTTTTCTTCTTAATTGTCTATCCCTCCCGGGAATGCCACCAGCGGTAGCAGTCATCAATTTTCCATGAAATTTATTTCGATTATTCAAATTGAATCTACGTAATATACCTAATATACCTAATTTTTGTTTCTAGTCAATTAGACATTTTTGCTTTGATCCTTACTTAGACTTGTATGGACGCAAATATCAATGTATATACATTTATTTAATACTATCTACGAGATGCTTCCTATATAAAAAAGGATTATAATTATAAAACTGAACTTTATATACCTTTTCAAATAAAACCCTTTGTCGTTCACGGTGTTCCAAAAATTATATTATACTAGCGATGTTTGTATTATAACTATAGGGTAAAATTTAAAAAGATATATTTTTATGCATATTAAAAAAGGAATGATTTAAAAAAAAAACCTTTAGCCACATTTTTTTTTCATAAAAAAATTTGCATTATGATTTGGAGGCCAACCCTTTTTGCAGTGGCGAGTTTGAGGAGGCGTAAACAACAAAACTGTTTCAATTCTGCTCGCCACGTTTCGGTGTGGATCGGGCAGTTTTGTGTATGGTCCAGCGAAAAGGGGGCTGTATTTTGGAGAGAGAGAGAGTGAGCGAGCGTGCGAGCCAAGCGAGAGAGAGAGAGAGAAGAGAAAGAGGGGGTTAACCTGGCAGATAGATAGACACAGCCGCACTCACACACGCCGACCGAGCATGCAGAGTAGCCTTTAAGAGGGTGGCACGGCGGTGCGGTGGTGGGGGATTCCCATAACTGGACATAACCATATCACCGCACTTAGTTAGCACTCACTGCATCCTCGGCGCTCAACCCATTCATTCCGGCAGTTTCGCATCGGCCGACGGTGTCTGCTTCGTCGGTGGTGCCGCCGATACAACCAGCAACACACTCACGCTCCGCCCTCTCCCTCAACCGAACTCGCACACACACACATTTCTGGCTGCACGCGGAGGTTTATAGACATGCTTAGGCAGCGGCACAACAACTAACTAGTGTGCTAGTAGACACTCGGTAAATCGGTCGACTCCGCAGCCAAAACGGCGTCCGCAAATTTCCAGCACGGCGGCGGCAGGTACCTGCACCACCACCACCTGCCGTCGCACAACTCGGCCAAGATTTCGGCCGCCGATGCCGTCGGCTCGTGGGCGTCCAGCAAGCTGGACAAGGTGCCGCCCGAGAACAACAACTACCGCACAGCCCCCGCGGCCGCCCCCGAGCAGCAGCCGGCGCCGCAGCAGGACTCGAGCACCCCGGCGTCCGACTCGAGCAGCATGCACATGACGCCCGAGCTGAACGTCTTCAACGAGACGTACACCAAGATGACGTCGGACATTTTGGCCGAGCGCACGCTCTCCGAGATTCTCTCCGAACACCCTGGCGAGCTCATCCGGACGGGCAGTCCCATGTTCGTGTGCACCGTGTTGCCGCCCCACTGGCGCTCCAACAAGACTCTGCCGGTGGCCTTCAAGGTGGTGGCCCTCGGAGACGTGATGGACGGAACGGTGGTCACCGTCCGCGCCGGCAATGACGAGAACTATTGTGCCGAGTTGCGAAATTGCTCGGCCGTGATGAAAAACCAGGTGGCCAAATTCAACGACCTCAGGTTCGTCGGCCGAAGTGGTAGAGGTAAGCGTTAGTATTTTTTCTCTGTCTTTCGGTTAGCATGAACTATATTTTAGTTGGGGGCTTTTATGAATGGCGCCACGAGGAGGAAACTTTACCCTTAATTTAATATGTATAAGTTAAAAAGGCCAAATTAAATCGCATAACAATACAGCTGAGCATAATATAAAAATATTTAAAAAGTTATAATTTAATTTATAAACAAAATATTAAAAGTACCAATTGAAGTTATTAAAGCAATCGAAGTTAAAATTAAAGCTTAAAAATATTTGGAATTTGTATCGCGGAAAGCATGATTTGGTTTTTTTTTTTGTAGCGATCCAGAGCGCGGCGACAGGTTTCCATCCACGTGGCCCGCGAGTCCTTTCTTACGCCGCTTTTAAAAACAAACTTTTTCGCGCATGGCAGAAAAATCCCCCGTGCGGCATTCTTCCCCCTTTTTCCGGCGGCAGCGTGGCAGCGTTTTCTCCCCTGTCGCAAGCCCATTCATTCAAAAATCGAGATTTACACTTTCGTAATTTTTGGTACGTTTAATTTCATGAAAATACTCTGTAGCTTCAAAATTTCCACTCGGATATGTATTTTTTGAAATTTGCGTTAAATGAATATCAATATGTAGGAAGTACTTTAAATTTTGATTTTATTATTAAAAAAAATTACTTACCTTAATCTGTATTTAATATAAGTGGCCTCGCAAGCAAAAAAATTCCTGTTCAGAATCTATATCTCATCACTTTTCATGAATATATTTGTTTTTAATCTCATCATAATCATGGCATATTTCTTTCAACTCATTAATCGCTACAATTTTTTTGTGCTGGGAAAATTAACTTGAATCTGTTTGGGAATTTAATTGAAAAGTTCATTGGTATCCTTTCCCAATATCATTAATACAGATTACAAGTGTTTTGATAGTTAAAAAAACCTCCCAAAAATTTGGCCATAAAAAGATCTGACATTTAAATGAAATACTTTTCGCAAGCAAAATTAATAGAGGCTTAGATGTGTACAGAATCCTAAATAATCATGAAATTCACAAAAAGTTGATAAAAAAATATTAATCGATACCTACCGAAAATGAATTAAAAGTTATTGTACTCTCAATAATCGCATTACCTTATTTTTCATTTATTTAATGAAAACATCAGCTCCTTTAAAAGGGTCAAACGTAGTTTTGATTGGTTTGTATACAAATTAAATTTGCTTCGTAGCTATTGACTCTTTCTGAATTAATTTACTGAGAAAGGACAAAGAACTTCACTAAATTAGTAAAACTCTTATCAGGAAAATTTGAAATTTGAGTAAGCCCGGTTTTTACGAAAACAACTAAAACCAGTAAAAAATATACCTGATCATGATAATACTTTTTCAAAGCGTTCGTGTTGAAAATTTTTTAACATTTGGCATTATTATTATTTGTTATCTTTTTTGCAGCGATTTAGTTAATTTCTTAAAACATGTAAATGAAATCCTCACAATTACTAAATTATTTCCCTCAAAATAGAGTTGTAAAGCTTAAAAAGGGAATAAATTGTAAAATATATCCAGCGTTTCATTCAAGCGCAAAGGTGGTTGTGTAATAAATGAGTAAATTCTTAATTATGATTCCTCATTATCAAAACTTTATGAATGAAGAGGCAAAATGCGCCATAATCCGCGGCAAACATAGAAAGAGCAAACAATTTCTGCGCGACATAAGCTGTCGTTGACAGGTGATCGAGCCCCTGACATTTGCCGATGTATGCAACCGTCGAAGCGGGAGTGCTCCCCCTTTTGCATAACCCATTCTGCAACAGGGGCTGAAAAATTAACGATCTATCGCGCGCGTGTTCGTACGCGGAGCTATTTTAAACACGGCGGGCGAAACTATTCGATCGAGCGGGACGCGCGCACTAATCAAACCAGCCGCCGCTTTAATTATTGAAATTAGGCCTAAACACGATCAGCGCCGCGGCGGTTTTAATTATTTTCTTGTCCTCGGCGGGCGTTTTGTCGTACGATAGGAAACAGGTACATGCACACAGAGTCACATGACAAATCATGGAAAATTGAATTCAATCGCCGCAGTCGGCTAGAGAATTATTATTGCATGTGCGTTGGCAACAAGCGCCGCCGGGCGCGCAACACAACCAGCAAAATATAATGATAATAATAATAGCGCGTTGTTTCGGCTGCGCTGGTGGGACGTGCGAGTTGAATTTTGCATCACTCTCCGGCACGGTTACCCATGATAGCCCGTGATGGACACAAACCGTGTTTGCCCTGCTCGTTGACTGGTTTGTTTGGGTGGCTGATGATGCGTTCAACACCCCTTTTTGATTTCGACATCGCTGCTGTTAAATTATCGCAATCCCCCGTCCGCCCTCTCTCTGTCCTGCACACTCACTCGCTCCATACATCAGCAATAACTTGTACATACGCACCGTCATATATGCGAATGTGTGCGAAATATACAAAATAAATTATCATGCGAATATACATATGGTCGATGTATTTTAATATTCGCATCACAGCCGGCCTGCGCTCAATTTGCACCGCTGCCTGCTGCTCCCGATATTTTAATTAATGGCAATCGCGAAATAAACAATAATTAATCATATCACTGCACTGCTGACGCGCGCTGTTTGTGCCATTTTCTGCTGTTGCGCTCGAATTCGCGAGAGGCCGACGCGTGCTCCTCCGCTTTGATGCCAATTGCGATTTGCAAAACATCATTTGCAGCGCATCAGATCTATGTATTTTCGCAGTAATTTAATTTTAATAAAATATACACTTCCATAGAGAATCATATATCATTGGTGTAGCCAACTCTATTGTCTACATAATATTTGGAAAGAAACCACATTTTCTATTTCACGTTAAAGTCACGGAAAAATTACCAATAATTTAAACCATTTGTATTTGTATAAAATTTTCATATGTATAAGTTTGTAAACTTTGTTTAATATTTTAAGAGATTTCTTATTCGCATTCTTAAATGAAACATTCACCATATAAGTAAAAAAACGCATATCTCAAGTTGAATTTACCTAAATTAATTTCAGCACCAAATTTGAGATTTTTGATACGTTCACAGTTATTCAGTTTGAATCATAAATTATTTTACCAAAACTTTTTTTAATTCATTTTTTGGTAACTTATTAATTACGTAAACAACATGTCACAATTGTCTATGCAAAATGAATAAATGAACGTTTGTAAAAGCGGATCAAGGGTGCAAAATTAGTTTTTGGTAACCGGCTGGATATCCTCTATAGGGGTAGAATATTTTTTAATTTGTGCTAGTTGAACTCTCCAACTTTCCTTTACATTTTTACCATATAAGACTTTTTTTTTGTACTTGCTTAAGATTTAATTTTAATTCATTTTTTTTTTAGTTTCATATTTAACTTATTATTCTATGCTCAAAAATTATTTATTTTTCCTTTTAAAATCTGCTGATAAATGAAAGAGATTATTTTAACTTTTTTTCAAGTTTATTATCTTTATTTTTTTATACTTTCTTTCCTACAAACTAATAGTAAGAGTCTTTCAATATCATTTGAAGAAGACACACTATATTTTTAATTTATAAAAAAAATTACGTATTTAATCACAAAATTCAAAGCTTCTAAATAAAAAAATTCTTGGCAATGACGGTTTTTAAATGCATCGCGTTTTATTGCATTTATTTGCAGGAAACGGCAAAAACCTGCGAGTCGAGATTGGTAGTGGCGGTCTAACCAATTTCTCCTCCTGAACCATCGTCTAACTGATTTTGAAATGAAAATCTTTTTGACTCGCAGCCTATTTTATATCGTTAACAGGGGGGTGGTATGTATGTTAAAATCGCAGTATATAATAAGTCATTCCGTTATTTTTATCACGCAATCCTCTATACCTCTTTGAAAGGCACTCCTGCACAAATATCAAAATATGATCGCTGCCTGTTTTCGCCCGCGGCAGCTCCGGAAATGAAGAAATGGTTTCGTGTGAATTGTGGAGCAGGACCAGGTACCAATATCGCGGCTTTTTACTTTACCCTATCGCTTCCACAATCGTTTGGGTCGAATGCACAAAATCATTTAGAAATCGACCTGCAAAGTTATTTAATAAACAATTTTAATTTTAAATTGCATCAAAAATTCAAAGCGTTTATATTTGGAATATTCTCAAATCAATAAAATTATAAGTGAAAAATTAAATTAAAAAAAAATCCATTTGATTCTCTAGCTTGAGTGAATAGTATAATAGTTAAAAAATTATTATATTATTTGATGTATATTATTAGCAAACAAAAGATTTAAGTGGCCTAACACATGTGGTTGCACTAGTAATTGGTGGGCGAGCAGAGAAGAAAGGAGCGTCAGTTGAAGAAAGGAAATGCGCCCTCCTGTGAGACGGTTTTTTGTTCTTGCAACCTTTTGGGTGGACACGGAATTAGCAGGGGGTCTGGTGAGGGTCAGAGCGAGAATTGCTGCGTGACAAATCGCGATAGTTCTGTGAACGGGAGCATTATTTGTTATTGTTGCGCGGCGAGTCCCTCTCGTTTCCTGGCCCGGCGTGCATCTTCCTTTGTCGTGCAGTCATAATCATAAATAACAAATTCTCCATGCTGCTGGGGTAATGATCTCTGAATGTGTGTATTATATGTCTTCATTTACTGGCCCTTCCTCTTGAGAAAGAAAATTGAGTTGCTTCTCACTTTGGTGCCAGCCGCGTTTCCGCTCCGCTGCGCACTGCACTTAATTTTATATTCTTCTTTTAATTATCACAACAAACAATTTTTCTCAATCTTGAAAGTATGGAAAAAATTAACCTTCAGGTTGAATTTAAAAAAATTATTTTTATAATTTTTGTTTAACTTCTAATAAATATCATGAATGAACATTGAAAATTTAGAAATTTTTAATTAATTTTACTGAAACTGCAAGAAAATAGAATTTATTGCAAAAATCTTCACCCTGGAACTGAACAAGAAGACATTTTTGCTTAAATATTTATAGCAACAAATAAAATCTCAAACTATGGAGTTGCCAGTTGGTACTAAAATGAGCCCAATATTTTTTTTCAATAATAATTAATAAAAGAGAAAAATTTTCATAATATTTTTGAATTTTTGTTGCAGGAAAAAGCTTCACCTTGACGCTGATGGTCAGCACGTCTCCGCCCCAGGTCGCCACCCTGAGCAAGGCGATAAAAGTCACAGTGGATGGACCAAGAGAACCTAGAAGTAAGCTATTATTAAGTAAGTTAGTTTATAGCGAGAAGAAAAGATCTGCTCCTTTTTAGCAATTTCAATCTCGAAATCAAAAGTCGCGGAATCTCTGCAAAGGAGCAGGTCATTTCTTTGCGTGCATTGCATGCATATTCCCCTATGCAGATCTCAACTATACCCTTTCCAAATCTTGCACGCACAACGCCAGTCGGCGGGGAAGTACAAAAAATTCAACCCTTTTGTTACGTTAGAGCTGGTAAAACGCGGCGGTGAGATTAAACGCTTTTATGAGCGCCGCGCTCGTCTTTTCTTGCGCCGCTCGGGCAATGCGGGCGAACATTTTCATTGCGCGAGAACACACATGTTTGCCTGCCGGAGAAAAAAAAACTATAGCTGCTGAGCTTCCTCCATCCTAAAGCAATATTATTACGGTTATTTATTACCAAACACTCGCATTTCTTTGATGTGCACGTTATGAGCTCTGGATTTTACTGGAGTACTCTTTTTCTGCTCCACAAAATGCTCAGAGTACACAAAAAGCACTATTGAATTGATACATATATGATTGAATACAACAATTAAAACTAAATTTGTTGTTAAAATTTATGCATTAACAATAAAATATTAAAGTCCATATTTTAAATGAAATAAATTTTATTTAAAATATTATTACTAAATAGTTTAAATGAATATTTTCTTCTATTTATCTATATTTACTGCGTTTATGTTATAAGCTTTTAATAGTAGCTTTAAAATAGTTTTAATACCTATCAAATATAATATTTTTCACATGTAGCTCTAGTAATTGCTATTTAAATTGTGTAAACATCATTATATAATTATTGTGTTCATTGGATCGAAAGTAATAGACAAGGTATTTTGTATGATCTTCTAATGATCATAATTAAAAGAAATGGGTAATAATTGCTAATAAAGTGCTCCGACTTTAAGAATGGAATAAAAAGAAATTAAATATTTTAAGCTTGATATTATATTAAATTTTCATTACTCTGTGATACTATTGAGTAGTCTTTTTGTACTTGAAACTTTTGAAAGTGAATACAAAAAAAGGAACAATATTATAGAAAATACTAACAAATTTGTATCGCTCAAACTTAAAAAAATTACAAAATTTCAGAGAGTCAAAAATTAAATATGCGCGAAGCAAATTTTAATACGAAAGTAAGTAATTCACAAAATGAAACTTTAAATTAATTAAAATTAACGTAGCGAATTTGCAATTTTAGAGGCTATATCGGTGTTAATAAACTGCTTTCATGAATTGATGAATCTGTTTTCTTTGGCCACATAGCGGACTAATTCCGTGTGATCGTTGGTCAGTTTTGTTTCCGTTTGATATACAGAGCAATAAAATTGGAAAGTCTGCTCTAGCCTAGACCAAGCGTGTCTGTTTTACGATCCCGGGACCGGATTCACTCGCCACACTTGAGGGGCGCAATCAATAAAAGCACCAAGTTGGACACAAGCCCGCCGGAGCCAATCGCGGCGGGGCGGCCAAGATTAAATATGGCAGACCATAAGTTTGGTTTGGAGAATAATATCGAATTGCCGGTCTCGCGCACTGGGTGGGGTGGTCGGTCGGTTGTAACATGGCAATATTATATTGGATGTTCTGGGGTAAGTTTAGGGTTTACCATGATGATGAGGAGCGAGAGAGAGGGCGATGGTTTTGCGGCCGCCGGCTTGGCATGTCAGTGTTACCAAGATATCCTCCACTTGTCCCGCAAGTTTTACCGCATTGCGTACGCGCGCGGGCCCAAAGACTCGTGACGATTTGTGATATTTTTTCCTGGCAAGCAACAAATTTTAAAAAAAGTACACCCCCTTAAAAAAATTAAATAAAATACAAATGTAAAATTAAATTCATTAATTTTTATAAATGTTTCTTTTCCACATTTATTTTAATTTTTTTCCGCTCCGCTTGCTCCGGTTTTTCCCTCACCGAACAGAAAGGGTTGGCAGGAATTTGAATTCTGGGCGTGCGAGGGATGAAAAATAGAGATCCTGCCGCGCGCAGGCAAGCAAGCATCGACTCGCATCAAAAGAATACGCCAGAGAGCAACTCCTTGCATAAAGAGAGCGTAGCGGCTGGTGTGTCTGGACCAATGATGGAAGCAGCGCGAGCTAAAAAAGGAACCGCGGTTTGTGGTTGGGATGGCTGCTGCTTTTAATGACCACGTGACCTGCTCCTCCCTGTGCTCCATCTCTTGCCACGCCTTTATGATATCATCTTAATAATTAAACGCGCGCGGCCACACTCGCTGCGCCCTGATTGCAGCTCGCTCTCTACAATCGTGTTAAAACTTTTACATAACCGTGAAAGTTTTTTCCAATTAATTCCATATTTTCTAATGGAATAAATCTAATTTGACAAATGAAGAGAACATATATTGATCAATATGCAACAGCATTTTATTAAAAAAAATTATGTTTTAATGAAATCATTTTATGTGTAAAACTAGCCATATTAAAATTTTATAATTAATCTTCACTTCTCAGGTAAAATTTTAATACTCGTTGATTAGAAAGAAATTCTGAGAAGTATAGAATTTATATTAATTATAAATAAGCTGAATTAACAATGGTAAATGAAATCCATTTGTTTTCAAAAATATTTATTTTATTAGAGAATAACCAATTTTATTTTTAAAAAGATGTGCTCCAAATGAACAATTAATCCCTCTTATGTTTTTTAGTATTAATTATCCAGATAAACAAAAATGTTTTTTTTTCTTTCAAAGTTTCATTGGTACAACCGCTTCAGGTGTTTGTTGAAAAAACCATTGCAATGTTGAGCACAATCAAAATCACACCACAAAGCGATTTGTGAAATTGAGCACCATATATCGAGTTGCATTTTTTTTTTAAATGTCAGTCTCACACATCTGGCAGTTATTTTGGCAAAAATTCACCGAGTGATAAAAGGCTGCTGGCGATGGATTGATGTTGATGATGTCGGGACGCACATCCACACACACACACAATTCGCATTTAATATAAACGCTGACGGTGCTCTCTGCATGTTTATTCCACTCGTCTCTCTGTGCGCGGCGTTTACGTATATTATGTGTGTGTGCGGATCGCCGAATACATAGCATTATTCTGCCGGCTGGAGCAGGGATGATGATGTTTGGGAGCTGCATACTTGACTACTTCATCATGCTGATGATCATTATAATGTAACATCAATAGCAATAGAGACCGCAACAGCAGCACAGATATTTCGAGAATGTAATGAATATTTGATATGATGAGCATTTCAGTTCATTTGCCATGAAATGGACATGCAAATTTACAGAGAGAGAGAGAGAGAGAGAGAGAGAGGCTGGTCCGAGTGAGAGATAGTGAGAGAGAGTGGGGCAGCCATTGCTCAGTCATTACCATGGAGGCTGGCAGGCCGACTGAATGGTGCTTCATGACGGTAATAAATTAGTGTTTGTGCTGATTGCATTTCGCGAACAATTTTGCCACTCTTTGATGACTCAGCGTTGCACCAAAGGCTTTGGCCGGGCGCAAATGGCTCTCGATTGAAGGCACCTCTTTGGTTAACACATCATTTTGAATTTTATACATAAAAACTTGATTTGCTCATCGAGTCCCAAAAGTTTCCGCACCTCCCTTTAAAATTGTCCGGCGCCGAAATTCAACGCGACTCTTCTGCTGCCCGAAACCTAAATTCCGAGGCCACAAATTAGAGGCCTTATTCTGGTCAACTTTTCGATGTCATGCAGGTTTTCGCCGGGGCACTCTCTATGTACATATATATTCACACGCCCTCGTAAATTATAACGTATCTGCAGCTCCAGCTGGGCTTAATGGCCGAAAGGGTTGCAAAAGGGAAGCTGCGCTTTTGTTCCCTTGGCCAGCAGGCGAAATAGCTGGTAGCAAATCAAGCAAAACTCCACTCCCCATCTCTCTTCTCTCTCTTGTAATGTGTTTCAAATTTCATCTTATTTTGAAGCGAGAAACAGCACGCGGTCGGTCATGAGAGTTTCGGTACTCAAGCTAGTGTAATTAAAATGCCGGACGATTTTTGTTTGCAACAACTGCGCGTCTTGGGGAATCCGGCCCGGCATTGTTTTCGTCTCACAGCAGCCAAACTTAATCCAGCAATTATGTTTAGTCGCCCCCAGGCTAATTTAATTAATACATTCTAGATTCTTTGGGGCGCGAGTTGCAAGAATATTCGTGTAAATTAAAAGCACCAGAAAATATTCATTTACATAAGAAATGAAGCGTGGGCATTATTTTATTGCATAAAACTTCACGAACAGAACAGTTTAGGTTTGGTAAAAAATAAATAGTGTCCAGATCCAATGAGAAAAAAGTTGGATGCAGACCAAATGCTGCCTTTTCTTTCCCACTTAGATGACAAAACAAGATTGGTGGGATAAAAGATAAAACGAACATATAGTGGAGGAGACATCTTGAGTGCAATACAACATTCGAAATTGAGACTTTTTCCCACAGTCAGCAGTAAAAAGCGAAAAGAAATAAGTGCACATGCAGAGATGTTAGTTGCCTTTCTCCGCATGTTCAAACTTCCTTAGCGACATCTAATCAATATAAATAGTCTGCTCCAATAAGTAGTCTGTTATCAGCAAAAATAACTAAAGCAAAAAATAGCTTCAGAAATAACAGTTACAAATTGCAAATATAATGTACACTTTAAAAAAATTTAAAAACAAAATTAGAATTAAATAAATTTTTATTTTGGATTTTTATCTCATAATTCTTTTATTTGATATTTTTTTACATTATCATAATATTATTTCTTTAAAATTTTGCAAACTAAAATTTTAATGCTTGCAGATTCGGAAAAGTCCAGAATAGAATAATTTCTGAAGATCTAAAAAAATATTAGCATTTAAATAAATTCAACATAAGAAATCCTTCTGCATGAAATATGAAAATAATTAAATAAATTTTAAATCGGTCCGATGTCAGATGTCTTTTCTGTGCTTCTATACATAAAGTATTGAAAAATAATGTTAATTATGATTTGTTAACAAGTAAATAGGTTTATTAGACTGCCAGGCCTAAGTTGCTGAATTCATTAAAATACAAAAATAATCCGTTTATCTGATGCAGATCTGATGGATGGATTTTTTATTCTTGGTTAATCTGCTTTTTATAGCAACATAAAATTTTACAAAATATCCAATAATATTAAAAAAAAAATATTTATTCAGCTCATTATAGGTGAAACTACATAGGGAAAGGTTAGTACCGCGTCTTTCTTTGTAATTATATTCTTGGTTATTTGAAGTAAAAATTAATCACGATGGATTTATTAATTAATCTTAACATATTATCATTATTAACCCTTTTCATCAATCCATCTCAATCCTTGCCAGTCCTTTCGTCTGCACTCCCCCAATCAAAGAGGGGATAAAAGCAAGCACTTTTTCACCATAGTTATCCCTTTCTCGCTGAAATATTCGCAAGTTTCATTTGTAAACAGACAGACATGAAAGGAAGTCGGAATTAATCTTCCTCATAAGAGATGAAGGGACCATCGGGGATCAAAACTAACTACACAAGACGGGCGCGGTGCGGTGCAGCTGCGTTCTGCAAAATCTTATAAGGGCGAGCGTTGAAGTTTCAGCCGCTTTTTCCTTCTAGAGTTGAGCTGCTTGGGCCTTTTTGCTCGCGTTCTCGGCAAAAATCACCCTTCAACAGGGCGCGCATTCGCATTCAAGATGACGAATGGCGCATTTCGGGTTAGACCGCACGGTACTTAAGCGTAAGGAAACGAGCCGTTTTTCTTGCGCGCGCGGCGCCGCCAGAATTTATATTATTGCGCGCGAGAGAGAATGGCTGCTCTGTACGGCCCTGTTGGGAATATGGAGCTGCTGCTGGGGAGCGTAATAAGTAAACCCTTGCCAACTCTTATGGAATATTATAGCCTGATGTATAGCCTTGCTGCGCGAGACCGCAAGGCCAAGAATATATCATAAGGAGCAGTGTCGGCTCCGCCATGCCGAGCAGCGCAGGCTAAGGTAATTAGTTAGCTCTCCCTGCTCCTTTTAATATTCAACACCTCCTTACATATTCCTGCACAAACACGGCCCTAATTTATTAGACTGGCGCCGCCACTCGTGTGCTACATCAAACGTAATTAAGCGAATTAACATCTGAATTTGGCATTCCTGACGTGAACTTTTCGCCCCCGACAAAATTACAAAGCTCATCATCAAAGTTATTTTTGATTTTTCGGAATGAATGGAATTAACACTTCAAAAACGGAGCATTTATCTCCGGGCAGGAGGAAGAACCCCTGCTGTTTGAAGATGAGGTCGCTCACACCAGCCCGCAGAACAATAAAACCTCCCATCTGTCGTGCAGCTGGTTTTGTCTCTTTTTGTTTGAAAATTTACGCAACTAGGAAAATTTTCAACAAGGAAGCGCGGCGCTCTAATCCATAAGGCGTGATTTTCGTCTAATCTCACGCATTGCGACTCGCGCTCACAATAGCCAGCTGTAAATGTTAATAAGTCTCTTTTGTTGAGATCCTTAAAACCCGCTTAAAACAAAAATACCACCCCAAATTTGTGTTATTTTGTGTATTTTGAACGCATGCTTGTATATCTTGCAGGGGTGTGATATGAAATTTTTAATCGCAACTGTTTGTTCAATATGTTTTTTTTCAAGTGGGACACCCCGGTTTTGATGAAACTTGGTATGCAACTTGCAATGCACGTGAGTGTTATTGAACGGCTATTAACAATTATTCAAATGCGCTGAAGATTGTATCGTTGAGATTTTTTAACCCTTGAACAATTAAAAGAAATAAAAAATTCTTCGGGATTCATCACATTTTTAATTTTGCGTCAAAGGAGCTGAAATGACAATTCGTGGAGTCAAAAAATAAGTCTAATAAAATTGGAAAAATTTTGAGACCATTTTGGTTGAAGCAAAAGTTGTAAACCATGTTTCATCAAAATTTTGAGTTAATTTCACTAGTTATTAAAAAAAAATTAAATTGAATAATCTTTCACATTTTTTAATACTTTTTCAAACTACGAAGAGAATAAAATCACGTAAAAGGTTAAATGCCTGGAATACCTCTTTTTTTGTGGGGCAACACCAAAGCTGTTTTTTGAGAGCAAAACTTAAAAGCCCCTTTGAACGTATAAACCTGCCTTTTCTTTGTTTGCCCGTTTATTTCTCTGCATTTTGAGGGAGGGAATGAACGCGTGCTGGGCGCGGCGGCGTGATTCGCCTTTGAAGTGCAAATTGCTGACGGTGAGCGTCTCGTTTGTTCCAGGACAGCAGCAGCAATTCCACGCGTTTGCCTTTGGTCAAAGGCCTTTTCTTGGCGGTCACTTCGCCAGTCCGCTGGACCCTCTGCAGAGAGCCGACCCGCTCAGCTTTCGCATGCCAGCCATGTCAAACTGCCAAAGTAAGTTGCCGCCTTTTTTTCTCTCTCTCTTGATATACATTTCCTTGCGCCTGTCGCCGATTGATCCAGGCAAGTGAGAGAGAGTCGGTTCTCTGAATTTGCAAGCTCGACGAGTAATCAGTTGATAAGTTGAAATTGGAGTGTGGTTGAGCCTGCACTTGACACAGCACTTTAGCCCCAACTTACTTTGTTATCGTGCTCATGATTTGTGTTGAAATCCTTTATCCCTTTATCTCTGCAAACACTCAGCTTGTACCTTTCCTCGCCCGCGCGCCTTAATTGCATTTCACTTGCACGACGTGTTATAACATTAGCACAGCCGCACCATTGAAGGCCGCCTTTGTTTGCCACATTCCCTGTCGACGCCGCTGCTTCGTCTGCGTATTTAATAATGCGAGTAGCAGATTTATTTTGCAAACGAGAGCTATTCAGCTGATGAGAGGTTCTTATTATTCCCAAAAAGTTATTTGAAATAAAATTTCAAAAACAACAGCTACACTGGCATTTTAAAATTTAATCTGTAAAAATTGCATTTGAAATCATTTTTTTTTTAAACTACGATTGATTGTAAAAAGATTTAATCGTGTTTTAAATCTAACATTTGTTGGTAATAAAAATTTAACTTAACAATACATTTCTCTTAATGCAAATATTTCTGAAAGCTTAAAAAAATTTTATGTTAAATTTATTTGGCCGCTGAATTTTGTTTTTAAATAAACACATTTATAGTAATATTAATGTATAACTAAATATGTACATTTTTTTTTAAGTTCAACTTATCTGAATTTACATTAGAATCCTTAAAGACAAATACATTTTTACAGTAGCCTCAAAACAAATATTTAAATTTTCTTCCATCATGCACTGTTGATGCAGTTTAAAGCTCAATTCATCAGATTAATTATACCATAACGATGTGGAACTAAATTTTTTGTTAAATAATAATTTATTCATTCTTTACATTCATAAAGCAATATTATCCGCTTACTTATTTTAACTTTTCACATTCAAGCGCAATATGATTTCTCTCCATTCTCCAAGCTGATTGCAAGATCTTTATTGAAATGCACACACAGAATGTGGAAAGCGAAGCAGATGAAGCCCTGCTGCGAGTAATCAGCTCGGTTGAGCAAAAACTATAAAGGATCAGAGGCAGCGGTGGAGCCACCGAAACTTCCCCCTTTCTGCTCCACTCTCTACATTATTAATAATAAAATCAGTCCCGCGTTTGAAGTTGCTAGGCAGAATAAATAAATATCCGCGCCGAAAAACAAAAACCCATCGTCAGCTTCGGCGGCATCACTTGTAAAATAAGAGCCTTTATTTGTTTGTTCGTCTTTCTCTTTGTACAAGAGGGATGCATGTGTTCATATAATAAATACAATATTTTCCTATACACGCAAGTTATGAGAGTGATTTGGAGCGTGCGGCTCTGTTTTCCGGCGGTAAGAGCATTATTTCCGTTGGGTCCGTGCGAGAGAGAGAAAAAGAGCTTTTGACGAGATTAGGTAAAGATCAAAGCGCGCGGGTTCGACCTGAAGGGGTGGATGCGACGAGTCAGGTTGGTGGCCGGGACGCGCACCTGGTGGCTTTGGCGTGCCTTTCTGCGGTCAGCCCATCGAAAACGGGGCTATTTTGCCGCCTTGCGGTTGTTTGAGACTCCAAGACACACGCCATCCACCTATAGCTCCTTCGCACTCGCCGCAACTCAGCCGCACCTCAACCTCAGCATTTAGTCAAGACGCGCATTATAATAACGTGTGCGCTTCGCACCTTGAGACCACATCATTTGCCTATGTGTGCTGGAGACGTGTGGCGCGACCGTCTGTCTGTCTACGCACTTGGGACGGCACCCGCACTCAATTAGTTTAACTGTTGAGACATCGATCTGTTCTTTGCTGCCTTATATCGCAGGGTATTTAGGAAAATTTTTGCGATATTGGCAAAAGCCATTGTAATGAATTTAGCGAGTTAAATAAAAGATTTTTCTAAATATTTTTATTTAATTCGCTAATTATAAAATTATAAAATACTTGCAACTGCTCCTGACACCATAAGGCTCAAAATATTTTGTATTTTTCACCAGGTATTTCCTGCCCGAATACAATTTTATATAAATTGAATATTACAATTCAGTCAATTACAAGATTAAATCAGGAGAAACGGAAAAATTTAATTAGTTCATTTTAACGTTTATTTAAAATTAATTTAGTATGCATCATAAGTTAAACGTAAATTCTAAAAATGAGGTCTTAATAAATATATTATCATATTAAATTGCATAATTTGAATATTGGCTTTATTTTAAGAAAAAGAAATTCTATTTTATTTTTGTTTTATTTATATAATTTTTTTTCTGATCATACCTTATAAACAAGAAAATATATTTAAATGTATTAATCAAATTTATTGCGTAATATTTACTTTTGACTAAAATAACTTTCTGGCTGCTGTGAAATTAAATATAAAATAAACTGATATGATAAAAAGTCTTTTAAAAATATGAGTACATTTAAATTTAAATTGAGTATTTATTCTTAGAGATGCAATTGTTCATTAAAAATAATGTTATATTTTATTTTATAATGTAAATAATTTGTTTTAATAAATAAAATGATATATTATATAAAATATTAAATTTTAAATTGAATTGGGCAATCTTGAATAAAAACACATTTGATATAAAAACACATTTCCACTGGTTTATAAAAAAAAAAAAAAATGCGCTCACCGATAATTTTAATTCAAATTCCACAATATCAGAGAGGAGAATTGTTAATTATCCAATATGATCAACTTGTGCGTACAATTTAAAAAGAAAAATATACTGTTTATAAGGCTGATGACAGCAATTCAAATAATATTAACCACAAACAAATGTGAAAAAATATACAAACGTGAATTTTATATAGAGCGCTCCAAAAATTAAAATTACTTTTTATTAAGAAAAGTAAATATTTCAAAATTCCAATGCTATATTTATAGGAAAATGTTTATTTTTATTTATAAAAGATAACAATGATTTAATTTAATTTTGAATATTTGAGAATGAGTTCAGCTGTATTGTTTGTTTCTTTTATCATGTATACAGTGGATGATTTTCACGTGCCCATACCGGCAAGCAATTAAAAATTGACAGTGCAACATGAGATGAACAACCGATTTCGCAAATCACCACTGATGGCTTCGCTAATAAGCTGCTCACGACTTGCAAGTGGGGAGGCGTGTGCGGACGTACCAAGCAAGCAAGCCAGCGAGGGTGGCTGCTGGAGCTGTGTCTCTAATCTAGGGGTGCGTGATGCAGCCCGCCGATGTGCAGCAGCAGTCGATTTTCCCAGCATGCTAATCAGCACACCGGCTAGCTGCCGCTCATTTGCAGTTAGCCGCCTCTAATTCATCATCATTTATTAATTAAGTGCAGCCAGAGGCCGCGCCGGGCCGTAATGAATGTGGAATGATCCCACCTGAACAGCGTCGTTCGTGCTGTGCAATTTGGCGTGCGCGCCAATTACTCATTTAAATTGAATGCACTCTATTTTGCTCAAGTAAATTGCGATTCGCGTGTGATGAGTCTGACTTGCGAGATAAAATTAAATTCGCCCTGTTCAAATCCAACTGCAGAAATGTCAAAGGAAAGATTATAATTGGATAATTTTTATATTAAAATTTAAAAAAAAATTCTCCTCAGTGTTTCCTCAGATCGCATGGGATATTAAAGTCCACGCAAACCACCATTAATTACTTCCATGGTTATTTATATTTTTCCAACAACACCCCGCATCTTTTAACCCCTTTTTCACTTCATTCAATATAAAAATGCAACTGGTGGGGCCGAGGCAAAAGTTATGAAGTGCCCGTTTATTGCTTAATGCCACCTCTAAAGCCGCGCTGCAGTGGTACAGGGAAAAATTCTCTCCCTTTTTCCCTCTGCCGCTTTTTTTCGCTTTTTCCTGCCGGTTCCGCCTGTGCGTGTGCTTTTTTCCACGCACGGGCTAAATGTAAAGCGTATTATGGCGATGAATTGTGACAGAACATTTCACGATGGTCGGATTTAAATTGCCCAGAGGCAGACGTGTATTTGTCGATCCTCCCCAAGGCAGAGGCGTGTTTTTTTTTTAATTCTTTTATTTCACGTTTTGGCTTTACCAAAACCTCAAAACATATCGGCAAAATGAATGAAACAGTGAATTAGAAATTAATTTATTGAATTCTTTAATTTACAAATTGCGGCATTTAACTAATTGATTGCTATCCGATGTGTTTCAGACATGGGTCAGGCGTTTGGCCTGAGCAGTTCAAACAGCCACTGGGGCTCGTACGGTGGTTATTTGTCGTACCTTAGTTGCACAGGGGTGCAGAGCAGCGGCTTCAACACCCCGAGTCTACCTGCTTTTGCACCCACCAATACCACAGACATCAATGGTCAATCAAACACAGTAGCCGCCACCCATGACACCTTTTCCGCCAACGCCTCAGCAGCCAGTAAGTATATCAAAATAAATTTTTGTTTTAATTTATTACAAACTTGAATATAACTTTGCGCTGCATAAATTAACTCTTCTACGGAGGTTTCTTAATCTTAAATTAAAAGAGGAAAGAAAAATTATTGGAACCTTGATCTCGATGTCTAAAAAGCATGGCCCGTGGGGGGATCGAACCCACGACCTTCGCGTTATTAGCACGACGCTCTAACCAACTGAGCTAACGGGCCAGTTGGTGCTCATGCGGTGCTCACTTTTACGAACTCTTCAACTTGGCTGCATTGGAGAAGGAGAGTGCGCAGAAACGACACTGTAGTATGGTGTGCTTCTTCCGAGCGGTACAGAGTACAATGAGATAATATTTTGCTGGTCAAGCAAGAGATATGAATCTAGGTTTTTTCTAACAACAACCAGCAATATTGCAATAATTTTTTAGCTTCTAATGCTGTTTTTAATGTATTGCCTGGCATTCTTTGACCAAATGTATCTTTCATAAATTTGGTAATACAAATTTGATTGGTTACAAGGGAGAGAATTCCACATGAAAAATACAATTTTAATTATTAATATAATATTATATGGCGAAAAAGTTATCAATCCAGACATAATATTAGCATATATGATAAAGTAATTTTAATTTGCTGTGATGTCACAATTATATTTAATATTTGTACGAATATTTCAAATGTTTTTGGTCCCTTGACTTGAAGAAATAAGTTAAGAATTTTATTAATTAAGTAGTTATAAAAAATTAAAAAATGCTAAAATTGATGAAAATGTATTATTTAACTTTACTGGTTTTCAGTTGTGAATATTAAAAGTTAAAAAATATAGCATTTAATTTTTGTATGTAGCTAACTTTTTAATAAAAAAATTATATCTATTTCTAACAAGCAAATCACATAATAGTACATAAGTAAATATGTACAATATTAATAAGTAGATAAATATTCATTTATAATAAATACAAATTTTGATTACTTTTACTTAAATCGTTGAAGTAATATTAGACAAATCTAAATATTGCTTCGATCGGCCAACTGTGAGTAAAAGAGTATTTTTGAACAGTAACAGTCCAGTCAAAATAAAAGCAAGTTGGTTGCAGATTTGTTGTTAACGAGGAAAATTACGCTGTGATGCATTTCGCCTTGTTGTCAAGTGCAGAGTAGCACAAGAGAGACGGGTATTTCTTTGACGGTACCTGCGGCGGTTTCGCCTGATAATGAGCGCCGAGATTTCCACTTGCTGCAAACCTCATTAACTCGAGCGCAGATAAAAGCAAAGGAGGCGACACTCGTTCGCTCGCGCGTGTATCAATGTTTGTCGTCTCATCGTTCGTTCGAGCGCAGTGCTGAATTACACACGCCAGTTTAAAATAACAAAGCGACCGTGCTGCGAGCGCCTTCCTTTTATCTGGGTTTCCTTCCTTGTAGTTCTCTACCATGCACACCGTTTCCCTCGTCTCGCTTCTTCTCCCTCTTCATTTTCCAAATGAAAAGTGAAACAATGCGCAAAATTCCCGCCTTAATTAGAGCTGAATTATTTACACTACACATGTGGGTGCTGCATTGTCAGAGACAATGGCGCGGCCTTTCTTGTTCTCTCCACTTTTGTGTCGACTTGACGACGCGGAATTTTCGCAAAGTGGATCGAGCGCGGGCTTTTTCCTTCGAAAGGAAAAAATTTACTCCTTACGGGAACGCGCAGATGTTTGTGGAGGAGTTCAGTAGCTACATTCCAAGGGGTGATATAAGAAGAAGACGAGACTCTTATGTGTATGTTTATTGCCTACTTGTTGCTGTATAATCTTGGCCAAGCAGATGTAACGGCCTCACCAAGGCATGAAAATGAACCTTTGTGGGATTCTAGTAAAAAACAATACTATTTTTGAAAATTTGGCTGATGAGTGATGATCTTATCTATAAATAATACAAATCATTTTCTTATATAGTCTCACCTTTAATTTTTTTAAATAGGAAAATATCATTCGGAAAGTGTGGAGAAAAAAAATTGGAATCATCTGATTCATCTGGGATCTAACTTGAAAATTAAAACCTCTTTATTGTTCCAATTGAAACTAATATAAGGTTCCAAAACTTCAATGTTAAAACGCATTATTTTATTATTCAAAACTATATGCGAAAATATTCAAATGAGTTATACTAATTATATTAAGACCATTAAATTAATTTTAATTGTTTTTTTTTTTACTTTGTTCACAGTTCTTCCAGACACAACTGGCACAGCGTCGTCTTTGGCGACAAGCACCACCACAGACTTCGCAGCCTCCCTGTCAGACACCCGTCTGAACAAAAGCGATAACAACAGTCCCGTAAGCGACCTCGACTCTCTTGGCCTCACACCAACCTCTCAAGAACGCACCAACACTTCGGCCTCGGCGCTAACCCCCCGTTACAACAACGACTTCTCCCGCTCGCTGGCCGACACCTCGAGTTGCCTGGCCGCCAACCAAGGGGTGCAGCAGTCGTCGCACCAAGGCGGCCACATGAGCTCCCTTTTGGGCAACTCGGCGGCCTCGGCGGCCAACTCGAACTTCTCGCTCATGGGCCAAGGTTCGTACGGAGCGGCCAATTCTCAAAACTCGTTATACTTGGGTGGGCCAGTGTTGCCCGCGTCGCTGCTCTACTCGCAGTTGTACTCCAGCGTGAGCCAAAACCAGTTGCACCTGCACGGCGGTGCTACCGTTGACGTGATCGAGCAACCTTCAATGCACCAGCAAACGGCGTCAGCATCCCCTGTGAGGGGTCTGTCGAGCGCTGACGAGGTCTCTTCGCAAACGAGAATGCCCGTTTTGCAGCAGCAGCAAACCCGACACGCGGATTCGGCCGTCTGGAGACCTTACTAGGGCATCCCAATGTAATTACTTTTTAACTCTTAAGCACTCTCACTCTCATTTACAATTACGTGCATTGTTCATATACGGATCGGTGTTCAGAAGGTGATTCTGAAAACGGTCGCAGTCGTGTACATTTGTAATGTTCGGAATGTGTTAGTTGCGAGATGGATCTTATTTGCAAAATTTACGCTATTCAGGTTTACTATTGGACCCTGGCATTGCCATCTTTATTGAATAAATAATGATCTGCCTCACAATTAGCTTTGTAAATAATATCAGGATATTAGCTCACTCATGGTTCATGATCATCATCGGGTTACCAAGATTTAGAGTTAATTAATTTTTAAGTGGAGATTGCCTGTCACGAGTCACAATAATTGTATCAATTTCACGATTAATAATAATATGACGTTTAAGAAATCTGAGCGAAATCTTGTGAAATTTTACAAATTTTCTGCAGTTTTGGAATGCGCACTTTAACCGCAATAATTATCTAGTCTTTGTCAATTCTTCACTACAAAATGATTGTTTGACCGCGACCGGACTGAGCGTCTCTGATTTTTTTTGTTCAACTTGTTGTAGCGCCTCAAGATTCTTGTCCAATAAAATACGATGACTCGAGCAGAAGCCAAAAGTCGTTTGTCTCGCCTAAAATTAACGACACCCCCCGCTCTAATCTGGCCGCTGGTATTGTGGTTGAGCTAGAATTAAGGTCCGTGAGTTCTGCTTGGGCTCTAAAACGAATGAAAAGCCATTAATGAACTGATAATATCATTATTTAGCGCTCGGTCTGCTCAGCAGTTCCAACCCGGCCGCGGTTTTTGCGGGCCAAGTTTGAGAAACCACGTCGTTTGTTTAGACGAGTGACTAATACAGGAAGTATACGGCGTGTGTCTATCGCCTAAAATCGCACCCTCAATCATTAGTCTTCTTGAAAGGAGCGCAGGAGACACTACTTGCGATAGGGAAATTTCGCTTGTCTGCATGGTTTGGCGGAAATTTATGGATTGCCACACCGGCTGCATATTATGCTTCAAGGAGGGCGTGATTAATGGGTCGCCGATGACAGGGTCCTCTGCTATGTAACTATTATTATTACAAGTATTTGCTGCGCACAGGGGTAAGTAACACGTTGGCGTTATGTAACCATATTTATTTTTAAATTTACAGCAAATAAAAACGTGTGTGCATGGAACATTTTGAATAAATGTATAAGAAAGATAAGCGGGGATTTGAATTAAAATTAATTATTCCCTGCAGTTTTAAACACAACTGTTCATCGGGGAGGGGGAACATATGTTTACCTCGCTCTCATTCCAAGGCTATAATTTTCGCCGGACTTTGTGTGTCTAATGAATCGCAATAAATTCACGCGCGCGCTCGTCGCCAGCAGACGCACTAAATTTCACCGCGCGCCACTGCTGCATTCCCCCCGATTGTAATTATAAAATTTCTTTTGCATTTGACAAGATAACATATACTATCAAAAGCTGCACGCCGGAATGGCTGCGCTGGCCGCCCCTTGGCCGAGAGCGCTGCAACCCTCCTCGCACATATACACAATTGTTTGACCCTTTCACCCTTGCACATTGTATGCAAAGCCCTAAGGGGACGGCCAAGTGAATCGATAATGAACCTATATGCCTCCGAGTGTGAGTCATTGCATTCAAATTGTGCACGCGCGTAATATGTCTGCTGCGAGCTGTTGCGCAGGAAAAGCTATAGATTTCCGTCGGGCAGCGTTTTTTTTACAAATATTTTGCGCCCTTTGCATCCTTTGTTTTTCCACGGCGAAATTAATATCTGAGATCCATCTCTCATGGGAATTCCGCTGCCGCCTTTTTTTAATAAAAATTGTATATTGCACGTTTCGTTGCCGTCGAGTTGACTCGCGAGCACACGTTCTCTCTCTTCTTTAAAGCGAACGAACGACGGGCAGAGCTGCACATACAGCATCGGTTTGTTCGTTGGAAATCCTCCGCGAGGGAAAGAGAAAATGCTTTTCCTTTGATGCTTTGATGATGGAAAATATCTGTTTAATCTGTCGTCGCAGTTTTGTTATTAAAATACCTCTGCGGACTTTCCGCAAGTGAAAACGTGCGCGGTTTTTAAACGAGGAGCAAAACTATTGTAGTGTTACTTTTTAAAACTTCATTTTGCATTTATTGAAATTTTCTATGTGTATCATTTTCTTCCAGAAATCTGATATTTTATGTATATAAATTTATCATATTTTAACCACCCAGGTAAAGTCAACAATAAATTAGTTGAATTCCTCATGATTCCAACAATGTTGATTTGTTTTAAATTGTTTATTGAAAAATAACATCAAATTTATAAAATATAAATATCCCGTTTTCACGTTTGAGAAGCATGGAGTATCTAAAGTTTTCAAAATGAATTGCACTTAGAACAATTTACTGTCACAATAATAATACAGTAAAAATTTAAAACATTCCAAAATTAAAATATTTGCTAAATGCAATAAAAAATAAATTTATGAATTATTTAAATAAAACAAATAATTAATTTTAACATTAAACAAATCTTGGGCAAAAAAAAACGTTTAAGATTATTTTCAAGCATAGTCTCTTAGGTTAACATGGACACGACGACACTATAGCCCATGATCACCGTTTAGCTGGCTAACAATTGCAAGCACCGCACCAAAGGTCCATCGCAGCCGGCGCGAGGGGCTTTATTTTAATCCAGGCCATATTAAGAGCAGAGGTGCTACAAAATTTGCACATTGTGCGCCTCAATAACAATAACTCTCGTCAGCACACTGGCCATAAAGTGAGCAGCGGCCGGTCATCCTCGCACCGTGTGTTTTTTTTTTTGCGACTTTTCTTTTTTACACACACATAGCGGACATGTGTGAGCGCGCGCGTGCAAAAAAGTGCAAGCTCGGCTAATGTCGGCGGGGTGTATTATTTTTATCCGGCGCCAACAATACTAAAGTACACGTGGCGTTGTTATTTACGAGACTCAATTAGCGGTGGCCGCAAACATGGCGGCCGGCATTTTCCTCGGTGGTGCCGCCGCCGCTTTCGTATACTGAATGTGTGCGGATCACGCGGGTGCAGTGTACGTGTTTAATACCTATATGAAGTGTAACTAGCTCGAGTTTTATCACCTAGCGGCCGCGCGCTGCCACTGCTTTAATTGCGCGCGCGACTCTCGCGGTAAATAATTTTTATTATCACTCTCTCTTCTGATATAATAAATTTTTATCCCGCGGCTCTCGCGCGTCGTCCAAAAAAGCCATTAGGGCTATCAAATAACGAGCGCTCTGCGGCTTTTTGTATTATAATTGATTGTCCGGCGGCGGCGCGGGCGTGCTCTTCCAACTTTGCACCCCGTTACTTTTAATTATATATTTTTTGAAAAATAAACGCGCGCGCGCGCTTGTTTTGCCGCTGTCGGAAAAAGAGCGTTTGCATGGTGGATTGCAACAATTTATGTGCGTGAAGGGAGTGCGTGGAAATTTACAACGAGCGGTCCCAAGACAGAGTCGTAAATTTGTCTGTTTTGAGAGGTGTGAGGCTCTCTCTCGTGCCAACAGGCAGCCGAGGATTTAAACTCGTCGGCGCACTCTGCACCTGCATGCCTCACAAATTAACTGTTGAATTGTTTGAATCATCCCTCTTTCTCTCACACTATGTCGAGCACGGCCTCCCTCGTGTGTGTTGTCTACGCACAGCATCTCTCCGATGATAACTAACAGTTGTTGTTGTAGTAGTTGCGATGCGAGAGCATTGTTATTGTCTTGGAAAGTTTGTCTGTAGACGAGGGCTATATCACACCTCTGGGTTTATAGGCGCATAAATTAAATTCATCCCCCGCTGGAACGCAGTTAATTACTGTCCCGTCAAAACAAGAAAACGTGCATTTTTCCTCTGCCTTCTATAACAAAGGATTTTCAGAATTATCTCTTCCTAACATTACAAAAACAAAAGACCTTAATATCCACCATCATTTGAAATATTATATTTCAAGTAATTGAAAATATCTATCTAGACATTATAATGATCCTCTGAATTATAAGCTTATACAGAAGATATAATACTTCCTATTTAATTTATAAAAATCTAAGAACACTTTTTATTTTAATCAGTTTTTATATAATTTTAAGACGATTAAGAAAAAAAAAATAAAAAATAACAAGCATAAATAAAAAAGGTGAAAAAGAAACTTTCTCTATATTTATCTGTTATTTAATATTCATTTAATTTAAAGAGCGTTTTATCTTTAGTTTAAACAACGACAAAATATTAATTAACTAACTTATCAATTTGCTCAATGAAGTATAAAAGTAATTAATTTAAGAAAAGAATATTATGTTTTATATATTGAAATTAATAAATTACTATAAAAATCTAAACAGTATAGTTTAGTAATCTTAATACATATTAGCTACAAATGCGTTGATAAAAACATTTAGTATGTTCCATTGTGAATATTAAATACACACCAAGTACAATTATATTATTTTATCATTTTTCTAAATGGTATGAATTTTTTTTAACAAAAGTGAAATTTGCCAAAATAATTTTTAATAAAATTTACAAAAATATGATAATGCAAATCCAAATTCGTTCTTGTTAACATGTTCTTTTTAAAGTATCCCGTCTTGCTTACTGTTTTACAGCAAAATAATGACAAAATTTTTAATCAAATCCTATCTTATTTCCCATAGTCTAGTCGTAATCTTCGATTTCCAGTTGATAAATTATTTATTGAAAGGGAACTTTCCTCTGCATTATTCACTTCAAAGTCAACCCTCTTCTAATTGCCACATGCTTGAGCCTTGGAAACAATGTGGTGATTAGAAGTTTCTGCGGGTAAAGCGCGCGTCCTTCTGGGTGTGCGCGGCGAGCGGGAAAGACATCTGCGAAGCACGTGACACTTTTCCACGCCAGCCAGCTGAGTCGACTTTCCGTTTTCTGGAGACGGCGGCGCGAACCGTCTTATCGCGTGCCATCTGTCGAGGGAAAGAAGCACAGTTTAAAAAAGGGCCGAAAAAAGACGGCGGCTCCGTCTTGGAGCGCCTTCGTCTGGGGAAGTTCCGAGTTACTTTAAGAATGTTGTAAGAATAAGAGTTAGAGAGGGTGGGGGTGCACGAGAGGGTTGCCTAGCCGCTGCTGCCTCCAGCCGGGGCACGGCGGTGGAGAGGTGGGGTGAAAAATACATAAGAAGTAGTGGAAAGTCTTGTGTGCGAGCGAGGAGGTTTTAAGATGGCAAAGAAAAAAGGGAAGAGGCAGCCGCGCTCGGTTCGCCGCGCATCGTGGGATCCCATCAGGGCAACCCGCACACCGTTCTCCATCTACCCACCAATGTTACCAGGCGCCTCCGCGTGGCGCAGCTTTGCGGTTGGGGGGAAAGGACGTGGGCGGGTTACTTGAAGAAGCCGACGGATTGGTCGCTTTCACCTCAACACGCCCATGCGACAACTTCAAGAGAAGAGCCCAAGTGTAAAAAGGGCAAGAAAAATCAAGTACTCGTCCCGAGCACTGCCGTAACCTCCCGCCCTTTTATTTTCCTTATTTTCCCCGGCTCCTTCATGGTGCCATCTGTAGCTCGCTCGGCTCT